CAAGAATTGATGCCCAAGAAAAGTAAGGACAATGCAAAGAGCACCTAATTTCCCTTGAAGAATTTAAGTTACTTGGCCCAGTTAAATTACATCCTTGAGTGCTGGAAGAGCTGGCGGATGTGATTGCTAAGCCACTCTCAGTAATATCTGAAAGATCATGAAAAATGGTAGATGCACTACAGACTAAACAAGGGCAAATGTTTTACTGGTTTTCAAAAGAAGGAAAGAACACAGTTTGCAAATTATAGGCCAGTGAGCATGGCTGACCTAGAACTTGAGAATTCTACAATGGATCATTGAAGAGATGGTTGGTGAACATAGGAAAAGAAAGCAGTAATTATAAAAAGAAAGGATTCATTGGACAAGTCATGCCAGAATAATCTTGCTTCCTGTTTTGGTAGGATTACTAAATTGGTGAAACATGCTACAAATGTAGTTTGCCAAAATTTTGGTAAAATTTTTAAGAAGTATCTCATACTGTTCTTGCGAAAAAGATGGAGAGATAATACAATTAGATGAATCCAGTATTGGATAGATTGTCATACTCAAATGTCACCCTGGTAGGACATCTCCGGCAGAATGCATCTATGACTGTTCACATTTTTATCAATGACCTGGATAAAAGCCTTAATGGCATGTTCATTAAATTTAGAGATAACACAAAGCTGGGAAAGATAGATAACACAATTGGCGAAAGAGTAGGAACCCAAAAAGAACTAGACCGATTACAGTAGCAGTTCTCAAAACTTTTTGGTCTCAGGACCATTTTATGCTCTTAAAAATTGTTGAGGCCCCCAAAGAGCTTTTGTTTATGTAGGTTATACCTACCAATATTTAGCATATTAGAAATTAAGACTTCTTAATATTATGATGAAAATAGTTGATTTTTCAGACCCTCAGGGGTCCCCAGTCCACACTTTGAGAACTGTTGGACTAGAGCTTTGAGCTGAATCTAAAAAGATGAAACCAAATAGGGAGAAATGTAAAATCTTACATTTGGGCTCAAAAAATCAACTTCACAAGTGTGAGATGGGGGAGGCGTGGTTAAATTTTTTTTCTCCTGGCTAGGCAACGGGGTTAAGTGACTTGCCCAGGGTCACACAGCTAGGGAGTGTTATATATCAAGGCTGGATTTGAACTCAGGTCCTCCTGACTCCAAGGCCAGTGCTCTATCAACTGTGCCACCTAGCTGCTGTTGTTTTGAAAGAATTCAGGGGGTTTCAGTGGACTGTCAGCTCAATAAACTAGCAGTACGAAGTGGTAGCCAAAAAACCTAATCCAATTTTGGGGTGCTTGAAGAGACAGGTAGTTTTCAGACAGCTTCCAGAAATAAGGAGGTGGATGATATTCCTACTGTATTCTGCTCTGCGCATACTTTATCGGGAGAACTATGTTAAGTTCTGGCCTCAGGGTTTAATGCATTAATAAGCTGGAGAAGTATTCAGAGGAGGGCAACCAGGATGATAAAAGCCCTAGGAATCTCTGCCATCTTGATTAGTTGAAGGAACTGGGAATGTTAAGCTTGAAGGAGATTCAAGGGAGAAATGCTGGCTGTTTTCAAGTATCTGAAGAATGGTCACAAGAAAGATAGATTAAACAAATTTTCTTTGGCTTCCAGAGGACAGAATGAGGAACAATGGTTAGAAGTTATAAAGAAGCAAATTTAGGCTTGATGTCAGGAAAAGCTTCCTAACAATAAGAGCAGTGTGAAAGTGGAATGGTCAGTTAGGAGAGGTGGTGGGCTCCTCTTGGAGGTTTTTTTTTTTTTTTTGCTTTTTGGCGAGGCAATAGGGGTTAAGTGACTTGTCCAGGGTCACACAACTAGTAAGTATCAAGTGTCTGAGGCCAGATTTGAATTCAGGTATTCCTGACTCCAAGGCTGGAGCTCTATCCACTGTGCCACCTAGCTGCCCTCTCCTGGAGTTTTTAAAAGCACAGGCTGGATAATCACACATCAGGTGTTACGGCTGGGATTCTTCTTCATAGAGGTTGGATTAGATGACTGCTGACTTCACTTCCAGTATCTTGAATTCTGTGTGATTCCATGTACCTGTGAGGGTTCCCTGTCTGCCTCTTTTGTTTGCTCTACTTTCTTCAGCCACTTGATCTTCAAAGCTATATTCTGAATCTTCTTCTGTTTCTTACCACTCTCAGTGGTTTCATTCATTCCCTGAACTTCAACAATTACCTGTAGATAGATGACTTCTAAATTTCTATTTCTTAATTAGCCTTCTCTCCTATGTTCCAGGTAGAGTCAAGAGCCAGTAATGAAGGCCTCCACAGGGATGGAGTACCACTATTACCTCAAACCCACCCAAACTGCAGTCGTCATCTTTCTTGATTTGATAAGTTCCACATCTGGTAACACTGTAAAACAACACTGTCAGACCTGCGTCAGTCACTGTATACTCTCTAAGCTGTATAATCTTTTATAAACATGCTCATGTCTCTACCATCCTCAAAAAAACCTCATTTGATCTATTTCCACTACCTATCATCCTATATCTCTCTTCCTTTTTGTGGGCAAACTTCTAGAGAAAGCCATCTACAATTAGTGCTTCACTGCTTTTCTTTTCACATTCTTCTTAGCCATTTTCCCATCTATCCTCCATTCTCCTTGGTAAAGAAAACACAAGGGTACAAATGAGCAAAATAGTTTTTACTTTGTCTTTTTTTTTTTTTTAATTCCTCTCCAGCAGTGGTTTTATCCCATCCTCATTCTTCCTCTAGTCCACAATGCGGTTAAAAACAAGCAACACTTTTTGGTGCCTTGGCATTTGTTCTTTGCAAGACTGACATTCAGCTATAGAAACCCTGTCACTCTTCTATATTCCTCCATATTTACCTACTATGGCTTGGGGGTCATTTTACATATACTTGATATTGTTGGTTAGCTACTTGTGGAGTAACTGTGGTCTTTTTAGACACAATTCCCTTTTCTTGCTCATCAGGATTATTTGTGTTTGCGGTCAGAATTTCTTTCTTGACAGCCTTCCATCTCAGAGCCTCAAGCCAAAGTATCTTTTTTCCCCCCTGAACTTCTGTAAATATATTCTCCTTCTTAATTTATTATGAGCTCTAATATAGTAGGGTCACTTCTTTCCAAGGTTCTTGTCACATCCTCTTCAATGACTAGATTGGAAGTTCTTATCGGCTAGAATCAGGAACAGAAGAGCGTTTTTTCATTACATTTTTTTCTATCTTCTTAAAGATGAAATTAGCTGAGAAAATTATCAAGACTTTTAAGATCCCCTTGCTTTTTTAGCAGAGAGAGACAGATACCCTTGTCAGTCTGGATAGATGAAGTCTCTAAGCATAAACTATACACCTTTCACTTGGCTTATTATAATCCCCTACCAATCCCTGCCCCCATTTTTATTCATTCTAAATTATATTACACATTGCTGCCAGTCTATTCTTTGTAAAGAACAGCTTTTTCATGTAACTCATGCTTAAAAGCTTTTAAAAATCTCCCACTGACTAGAGCAGGGGTGGAGAACCTTCTGCCTTGAGGCCTCATGTGTCCCTCTAGGTTCTCAACTGTGCCCCTTTGACTCAATCCAAACTTCACTGAACAAATTCCCTTAATAAAGGGATTTGCTCTGTAAAACTTGGACTCAGTTAAAAGGCTGCATCCAAGGATGTAGAAGGCCACATGTGGCCTGGAGGCAGCAGGTTCCCCACCCCTGGACTAGAGGATCAAATCCACATTTGTTTGCCTGTCAATCATGGACCTCTGGGACTTGGACTAAATGGTGAAGGATTGCGTAGAGTCAAGAAAATGGGAATGAGAATTTCTTGCATTCACTCATTCATTTAATACTTGCACTTATTAGTGGTTTGTTCTGGAGCAAGCCTCTTCTCTCTGGGTTTCAGTTGCATCTGTAAAATGAGTTTGGACTAGAAGACCTCTAATGACCCCCCTTAATCTAATGTCTATGATCTGGATACAACCTACCTTTCTGGGCTTACTTTCTAGTCAGTCAATAAACATTTATTAAACTCCTACCACGTGCCAGAAACTGGGAATACAAAGAAAAGCAAAAGTAGGTACCTACTTTCAAGGAACTCACAGACTAGGGAAGATAACTGGTATAAAACTACAACTAAGATATACACAGGATAAATTGGATACCTCAACTTTTAGGTCCCGGTTGTCAACGGTAAGGATACAAGATGTCATAAAACACGGCAAACCAACTACTTTTCTGTTGCTCAGGTACGGCCATCGTACTTTCTTTAGTTTGAACCACCTTTTCCTAGACTCATTTATTAACAACATAATTAAGAAGATTAATCAGAATCCCAGGTTAGATTTAGAGCTGGTAGGGCTTCAGAGGCCATCCTTTTATAAATGAGGAAACTAATGCCCAGAGACTTGACCAAAGTTGTACAAATACCGTCAGAGGTAGAACTTGAACCCAGGTCTGCTCCCTCCAGAGAGCTTTCCAACTGCACTTTCTATTGTACCGAGACTTCCTACACTTTTTATTTTAAAACGTAAACATCTTTTTTCTCTTTTATTATGAACTTAAGTACAAACACGAACAATGCAATATATAATATATATTACGCTGGGTATGCTTGGCACTAGAGATACAGATAAAGAATTCCATTGCCCCCCTCCCCGCTTCCTAAAGGGGGGGCGGGGCGAGGCAGGACCTCGGTCCGGTCCAGATTTCTGCTCAGCCTCGGGGAGGGCCGGAGCCAGGAAGGGCTGGGACAGACGGGGGTCTCCACCTCCGGGGCCGCAGAGGCCCGTGGGCTCCGGGCAGCCTCGGAGCGAGGCCCCGCCCCGGATTCCCATCCTAGGGAGGAGACAACAAAGGACGACCACCCGTAATGGTCCATCTCGGCGCACCTGCATCCCCGGAGATTTTCACCTGGAGCCCCGCCTCCCCAGGCCTCCGTCCCTCCTCCAAGCTCTCCAGCATCCCCGCCCCTCTCTTCCAGGAGCCCCTACCGGCGGCTGCCGCCTCACCCACACCCCCGGCTCTCACCTAGAGCCTTCTGCGGTCTAGCGCGAATCCTACCTTGGAGTCCAATTCGGCCCAGGGGCTAAGGCTGTAGCGCAGGCGCACCACGGACGCTTTCCGGCCGAGCCGGAGCCTCGTCTGTGCCCGCGCTACGTGCTCTCAGGCCCCAGCCTCCTTCTGAGAGAAAGACGTGTGTGCGTGGTGCGTGCGCGCTCCCCCCGGCGCTCGACGAGGGAGCGAGGGGAAGGGCCGCCGTGCGCGCGCGCCCTCGCTCTTGCTCGTTCTCGCCGGCCGTTCTCGCTGCTGCTGCGGCTGGGGCTGGGGGTGGCGGCGGCGCGGGCGGCTGGCGGCGCGGGGCGGTCCGGCGGGTTCAAAGAGGAAAACATGGCGGAAAACAAAGGCGGCGGCGGCGGCGAGGCCGAGAGTGGCGGCGGCGGGGTCAGCGGCAGTGCGGCGGCAGCGACGGCGGCCGGGCCCGGGGCTGCGGGACCCGCGGGGCCGGAGGCGGAGCCGCCTCTCGCCGCGGTGCTAGTGGAAGAGGAGGAGGAGGAGGAGGGCGGCAGGGCCGGGCCGGAGGGCGGCGCGGCGGCCGGGCCCGAGGACGGGGGGGTGTCGGCGGCCTCCTCGGGCTCAGCCCCTGCGGCCTCCGCCGCCGCCGTCGCGGCCTCGGCGGGTCCAGCGGCTCCCGCGGGTCCGGGAGCGGCGATTGCGGCCCCGGCCGCGGCGGCCCCGGCCGCCCCAGCAGTCCTGGCGGCGCCTGCCCCCGCGCCGGCGGGGCCGCCTCCCGGGCCCCCGGCCTCTCTGCTGGACACCTGCGCGGTGTGTCAGCAGAGCCTGCAGAGCCGCCGTGAGGCGGAGCCCAAGCTGCTGCCCTGCCTGCACTCCTTCTGCCTCCGCTGCCTGCCCGAGCCCGAGCGCCAGCTCAGCGTGCCCATCCCAGGCGGCAGCAACGGCGACATCCAGCAAGGTGAGCGGCGGGCGCCGCGGCCTGCGGCCCCCGCGGCCACGAGCCGGACCCCCGGCTGTCCGCCACCCCGGGGGGCCGCGGGGGCTACCTGGGGGGGCTCGGGAGGAGCGAGGCATTGAGAGGTTTTCTCTTTTGGGGGCGGGAGGGGGCCGCGAGAGGTGTTTTTTTTTCTCTCTCGGAGGAGGGGTGTGTTTTGTGTGTGTGTGGTTTTGTGGAGTGGGAGAGGAAAGGAGAGGGGTTGAGTTGTTGGGGGGGGCAAGAGCCGAGTGATGGGTGGAAGGAGAAGAGGGCCTTAAGGTTTGGGGGGGAACTATGGGGGAGGAGGGCCCTACGAAGAGGATGGGGCGGGGTCTAGGAGAGGAGGGCCTTGGAGAGAGCTGGAGGGAGGGGACCCGAAGACCCTAGAGGGTTTTATGGGGAGAGCTGGAGCTTTGGGGACAGGATTCAGATGCAGCGAGAGGTGTTTTGGAGAGGAGACCAGAGCTAGGTGGTATTTGGAAGAGATAAGGGATTTGGTCTGTGAAAGGTGTTTGGGACTTACTTGAACAGTAAGAGGAAAGAAAACTAGTCCCTGGAAATATTGGTGCTAAGCAGTGAGAGAAATTGGAGTGGGCTAGGGTCTAGGTGTAGATGAGTAAATGTGACACGTGCTCCAAGAAGGTTGGTTATAAAAGATAGAAGAAAGGAACTTTTTAGGTGTTAGAGAAGACGCTGGACTGGGAGGTTATGCATCTATGTTGATAGCCTGATGGTTGGAAAGGAGAAAGTTCTCAGGGGAACTCTTATTTAGTAGGGAGATTTTGAAAACCATAAAAGATTTGGTTGTTTGACGTATGGTATTGCAGTACCAAGAATGAGGAAACTGACTCGTAGGAACTTTTTTGGCAGAAGAAGTGGAATAGCATAATTCTTTAACGTTCATTTTTCTGTAGTTGGGTCGCAAAATAGGAGAAATAGTACAGACTTGTCAAAAAAACTCCCTGTTACTCTAATTATTATAATTGGCCTTGCTTCAGAACCATTATCTTTGAGAATAGTTGATTCATATTTTATGTCTTATAGTTAATGTGCATGTTTTCTTTCATGTTATTTTAAGCTTAAATTTTTCACAACCTGTACACACTTCTTTGAAGCACATTATAAGTTTACAGTGTTAGAATAAATAAACAAATGGGCAGAATCTGAATGTCACAAAGTTTTAAAGCAGCTTGTTCTAGAAAAAACTTCTATGCGTGTACACTTTTGTCCTATTGCCTTCTCTTTCAAGGCTAATACCTAATTTACTCTCTAGTCAAATTACAATTTACTTTCTTATTTTGCTGTTCCACAGAGAAAATCTTAACTCCCCAAGTGTCAGAAGACCCAAGATAATATTTCCCTTAATAATAATACTAGCTGACGTTTACATATTTTTTGTTTTTATCTCATTTGATACTTATAACAACCCTTTAAGGTAGGTGCTATTATCCTATTTTCAGGTCATTAAAGAATGCCTCAGAGGGGTTAAATGACTTGTCTGGCCACCTAATTAGTGTGAGTCTGGGGTGGGATTTGAACCCAGGTTTTACTAAGTCTGAGTCTGCTCTATCTACTATGACACGATCTCGTAGGATTTTGTTTTGCCTATCTCTACTGTACTTGTGTTTTGGGGAGGTGTTTTGTCTTTTTTTTGCCTTACATATACATCTGTGTATATGTCATGTATTTGTAGATTATAAATTCCATGAGGAGCTTATAAACTTTGCATCTTCTAGCAGACACTTGATAAATGTTTATTGAATTGGATTCTCATACCTCAATAGTGAGAGGAATACAATGTTTTTGTTGAGTGAATTTGTACTTGTATGCATCTCTGTTCCGTGTATGTTTGTATGTTTTTTTAACAAGCCATTTGAAGCATAAGCAGTAAAATTTACATATATATTTAAAGCACATACACATATACGGCTGAAGATTGGAACTTTGAAAAATCTTGTGATTCATTGCCTTGTGAAAAAGAAAAAAGGTATATTTGACTGGTTAGCTTATTTGCATTAAGAGAACCATGTTGGAAATAAGGCCAAGGTCTGAGATTCAGTATTCTGGTAGATCATTTAGCTTTTCTTTCAGATCTACAGTCTATTCCCCTTACCTTAGGTCAACCTTTTTGAGCATGCTTTGGTCACAAAGGGTTTTGAGTAAGACAGCATGGGTGAACTGGAATACAATTTAAAGCCTGTCTGTTGTTGATTTATTCTTTTGTTCATTCAGGAAACATGTATTGTGTTTCTACTTTGTGAAAGACATTATGCTAGCTAGACACTGAAGATATAAAGATGAAGATGGGGTTCTGGTTCAAGAAGCCTATCAAGAGTGCATGTGTGTGGGTGTCTGTGTATACATACACATACCACTCACAAATATAGATATATGCATCTACACACAGAGAAATCTGTATCTATTATAATAGGAGGGAGCGCTCAGTTTTACATAATAACTTTCAAATAGAATAGAATGAATGCATAAAGAGGTACTAACAAGTGCTTTGAGAGTCCAGAGCTGAGAAAAAGCCTTTCAGGTGTCTGGTTGGTGATGGTGGTAGAGATGAGAGCATGGCAATGGAGGTGACATTTGAGTTAATACTTGAAGGATACGGTGGGGATTTAATAGGTAGGACCAGGGAAAAGGGTGTTCCAGGTGTAGGGAACAGATTGAACAAAGGCATAAGTTAGAAAATAGAACACATAGGGAGAAAGGATGGAGTTGAACTCAGTGAGTACCTTGGAGAGAAGTTGAGTGAGCTAAGGTAGGAACCAGGGAGTTTTAAGATTCAGACTGTGGAGGGGCTTGGTTGTTCAACAGAGGAATTTGACCTTCTTTTGGGGAACCATTGAAAGTTTTTGATCAGGTTAATGACATGGTCAGAGACATGCAATGGGGAGATTAATTTGGACATGTTATTGAAAAATGGGGGAGATTTCTGTGATCACTGAGATCAAGGAAGGCAATAGGAATTGAAAGGAACAATGAAAGGGAGCGATTTGGGAGGTGTAGAATTCAGTGCATTTGACTGCTTGAGAGGGATCTTAGAGAGTGATCTTAGAGAGTAAACAGTTTTTAGAGATCAGAAGTGGTGTTATAGAATCAAGTTCCATCTCAGATACATAATGTCTGTGACCCTGGGCAAGTAAAGCAATGCTGTGGGTAATTTTCTTTCTTTTTCTTTCTTTCTTTCTTTCTTTCTTTCTTTCTTTCTTTCTTTCTTTCTTTCTTTCTTTCTTTCTTTCTTTCTTTCTTTTTTCTTTCTTTTTTTTTCTTTCTTTTTTCTTTCTTTCTTTCTTTCTTTCTTTCTTTCTTTCTTTCTTTCTTTCTTTCTTTCTTTCTTTCTTTCTTGTGCGGTTAAGTGACTTGCCCAGGGATACACAACTAGTAAATGTTATGTGTCTGAGGCTGGATTTATACTCAGGTTCTCCTGACTCCAGGGCGGTGCCTCGAGCCACCTAGCTGCCCTGGTAATTTTCTTAGCAACTGTAAGTTAAATACTTTTCTGTGGAGAGACTTCCTTGCACCATTGAAATCACTGTTTTGACAAAAAGAACTCTCAGCACATTATAGATGAGGATCTCGAAGCTCAGAGGAATACAGAAGGTTAGTGACAAAGTTTAACCCAATTTTTCCTCATTCCAAATCTAGTCACCTTTATATGGGAGAGGTGGGAGGAATCAAGACTGATTCTAGAGTTTTTGAGCCTAAGGAATCCAGAGATCAAGTTAGTTAGTGATGGTGCCATTCATAGAAATAGGGAATCCAAGAGAAAGTAATAGGTTTTGGAAGGGAGCAGAATCTTGGTTAGGGGAACACACTGGGTGTATTAAGCACTTTTTCCAGATCTATATGCATACTAACAATTGATACATAAGACTGAACTTGTCGTAAGTTGTAATTGGACTACCCATTTTATATTTTGACCTTGAGGCTAAAACCAAGTGTGGAAGTTGGAGGAATATAGTTTAAACAACTTCAAATATTCTCCTTCTGTTGACCTTATACAATGTCTTGTAGCTTTCATGTTCATTCCCCAGGTTCTTTTATATTTTGTTAAAAGTTAGTGTAGAGCTTGGCAAGAGGTCCTATGACTGTTTTTCAAGGATTCATTTGGAAGGTATAAGAGGCAGTGTGTCATGATAGATATTATTGGACTTGAAATTAGGATGGCCAGGATTTCTGAAGTTCTCCAAGTGGGTGATACCATCCTTTGGAGGGGGGCACTGAAATAATGCAGGTAGGTGGCAGTAGTCTGGGTTGCAATTGTGGGGCAGTGTTGAATAAAAATAAGGTGCAATGGAAGCATAAGGAAAGAAGACAAGGTAAGAAAATTTTGAAAAACATTCATACATGTTTCATCTGTTATGTAACAGAGTTAAGGTCGTAGTGATTACTTTATTTTCCAAATAAACACACAGAATGCAAGTTATAACCCATCAGTGGTCAAGTCTGCTGACAGGTCTTAAAAAGCAAGTGTTGGCAGGTGAGCATGTAAGCATAGTGCATTATCAGGAAGTCCAGCATGCATGGGCAGGAATATGTGCATATAATGACTTATTTACAATACAGTGCTATATGGTTATGGGATGCAATATTGTGTCAGAAAAATTCCAATGCAGGAAAAAACCCACAAATTTGCAATAAATTATTATTAAATTTAGGATGTAAAAATATGTGTATTTTTGAAATGATGCAAATTTTAAAAGAAACCGTTAAAGGGTTAAAGAAAGTAGATTTTCAGGGGGTGCTGAGTGCTTTTTTTTTCTTTTTCTGAAAAGGGGGAGGTAGGCCAAGTAAGTTTGGGAACTTCTGGTTTAAATCTTTACTTTGACATCACATGTCAAGTCACTTAACCTCTTTAATCTCAGTTATCTCTGTAAAATGGGAATATCTGTAGTATTACTTCACAGTGTTGTGAACCTTAAATGATCAGCACTTTCCAGTAAATCAGCAAGCATTTATTTTAAAGCAGCAAC